GTGCGCATGCTGTTTCCCTGAGTAGGAACTGTCCGTTCCTGCTCCAGAAGTGAAGCTCAGTCCAGTCAGCCTCAGGCCTAGTTTGTATGAGTGGTGTCTTCAGCCCTGACTGCAGAATAAAGGCGTGAGGTGGCATTTTATACCCTCTGGTACACACTGGCTCACCTCTCTCCAGAGCATCTGGTTCCCAGGCTATGCCCAGGCCTGCCTCCACATAGGGGTGCTCTGAGTGCAGTCTGTTCCCTCTCTTAGCTTCCTCTTCCAATAACTGCTCTCTGCTTAGAATCTGTGCGGCAGGAATGGTCCCTTCTTGAGAGAGAGGAAAGCCCCCAGGCCGATGCCGACGATGCCACAGTTCAGAAGGAATGGCATCGAAACTGGTCGGCATTACTGCTGGCTTCCTGTTTATTAGGATTGTTGTGAAAGTTGGGGTGCTGCACAGTGCTCCTGTCTGATAGGATGCAACCAAGCCCAGATGGGCCAGAAAGAGTCCAGCAGGGATGATACAGATCAGGCCAGCTCTTCTGGGCAAATCCTCACCCTGTGGGGAGGGTTAGAGCCATGGCAGGTGGGACTTGCTTTTCGAAAATCTCCTCTCATCTATGTAATGTCAAGATGGTCCCACACCCTATAGTGTTAAACCAGGTGGAAGGAGCGGCAAAGGGAATTCCCAAGGGTGGTCAAAATGGATGAACTTCTCCCCTTCTTAATGCTCTTCCACTATCCCTATTTTCCTGAGAGGCTATGGTCCAGCAGCCCTCCATAAATGCCTCCCATACTGATGCCTTAGCTACCCTAAACTGGTTCTGGCAGCAGGCAAAAGTCACTGCAGGCATGGGCCACATATGCATAAGCTCCACCAGCATAACCACATGCAGAGGATGAGGTTGTGAGCTCTTTGGGGAAGCGTGCATCTTGTTGGGTGTGTGCAGGGCTCTCGGCAGCACTGCTGTAGTCAGCCTCATCCCTAACGTCTGCCTTTTAATGATAAGCAGCCGCAAGCACCGAGCAGCAGCGTCCTCGATGAGGTGGCTGAGGAGCAGAGGGACTGTACAAAGTAGGCAAGGGGCATGCTGGCATGGGCAGCTGGGGGTTGAGGCCAGGGTCCCTGCTTGAGAACACTGTCAGGGAGGCGGAGGAGAAGAGAAGCTATGGGGGATGAACTGGCTTTATGCCAACAGGGTCTCATGTAGCTGTTGAGCAGAGTAGGGGGAAAGAAGTGGGTGGTAGAATCTCAGGACACCCAGTTGTGAACCGAGTTGTTCAAACAGAAACTGGACATGCCAGTGATAGGATCTATTCAGTTACCGGCAGTACCCCTGAGAGCCCTGGGAGCCAGCTTAGATTCCTCACCTTAGTTACCACTCCCTGACACGCCATTGACGTCCTTGCAGGGGAACTGAAACTTTCTCTCCCTTTTTGCAAAAGCATAGGTCAGGCAAGACAGATACTGGAGGCTGGAGCTCTATAACAAAGGGCAAGGTGGAGCGTGGTGGACAGGGAGCTGGGTTTCAGCTTTGGTTTTCTTTGTAATAACATTTCATTTGAAGGGTCAAATCAGTTCCAGATTTCGAATGAGCACAGCTCAATCATTCAAGTCTTGTGGCGCTGCCACCAGCAAGTTGCCTCCCTTCCAGACTCTTCAGCTGGGGGCTTCTGATACTCCCAAATCCATGGCAAACATCTTGTGTGCAAGCCTGGAAGCGCTGGAGTTCAGATCCCCCCCACCCCTTCCCAGTCTCGTTTACCCCGAGCCAAGGCATTTGTAAACTCTGGCCGGGGTCAGCCTGCCCGCAGTGCAAGGGACAGGCTTTCACCCTCTAACTACACTTGTCCATTCAAGGATGAGAGGATGGTAGGTTTTTCCCCTGCCAAGGTGGAGATTGCTGCTGAGTTCAAGAGACTTCTGCTCTGAGCTAGAGTGCTCTGTGGTTTCCACAACCCAAGGTGCTTTCAGCCAAGTGGTGACTTACTGTTGGCAAATGGGCCGTGGCTGCCTGGCAAATGTATGCCTGCCTGGCTCCATCCTGGTTCAGCCTAACTCTGGGTACCAGGGCAATGACCCCTGCGTGGCCTGAACAGGAGTGCCTGTGTCAGTACCCTCGCAGGGCCCGTGTTGCTAGTCTTCAAGCCAGGCTGATCCATGTTAGTGCCCACAGGTGAATAGTGTCTGAGTATTAGGGAGCTAAATGGTTCTTTTGTTGAGGAAGGCCATGGTTCCAGTGCCACCTGCCAAGTCACATCCTGTGTCTGACCTGGTATGTCCCCAACTGCCTGTGGCCCTCTTGGAGCACTGCCCCGGTCTTGCTCACCCTGGGACAGTGCCTGCTCTTTTAATGCATATGCAGAGTCACCCATGAGCCCCGGGAGCTGGCTAAATAGGTAATGAACCACACAAAAGTGTCCCATCACATGCAGTCTCCCATCACTGCAGCATGTAGGTGAACAG